TCCTCCTGCGTAGGGGTGGGCAAGCGGAGGAACACCATGGCCAGAGGGTACTGAGGCGTCGGTGGAAGACTTGTCCTTGGTAAAAATGCGTTTGAAACAACCTCCTTAGTTGCCTTCTCACGACTCCTAAGAGGAGCCAAGGCCAGTCCAGTGCAGCATTGCACAGGGCTCTCGCGCTAATGAGTACCAGTGATCACCTCCTGCAGTTGGACATTTGCACTGTTCACACTTGTCTTCCGCGGTTTTGATGCTCTCGTCCAATGCACACTTCCTCTGCACCTCCAGTCAGCTGAAAGCGGCTCTCGCTCAGCCAGCAAGGTCACAGTACTGCTCCTGAAGCCCATCAGCTTTTATAAGCCATAGATACAGAGGTGTCATCTGGCACCAAGTGTGACATGGAGAAGCTCCAGCCACTGTTCTGCAGCAGAAACTGGGCTCAGTTTCCAGCTGGGCACTCTGCCAAGGAGTCAGGTGAGTCCTGGACACAAAGTGCTTCCTGGCAGCCTTGCAGTCAGACACCTCCTTGGCATGGCTGTGACAGTAATGTAGCTTCCATAGGGCTGCTCACAGTCCCCAAAAGGCTGATCAGTCTGCAAGGTCTTAGACCATGTCTCCTTCAGGTAGACCACGGCCCCTGAGCCTCATGTTTCTTTTGGGGATGGGGATGGCATCAGAGAGGATCAACTGCCCAAGAAGGTGTAGCTGTCAGTACCTGGAAGTGAACTGCACAGGGCAGCAGTTGCAGGAGTTCCCTGTGGCCATCCCGCTGGATACCAGGCAGCTGATTCTGGCAGCAAACAACATCTCGTACCTGCCCGCAGTGGAATTGAGCTTCTTGGCTGATTTGGTCTACCTGGACTGCAAGAAGAACCTCTTAGGGCATGACCTGGATTTCACTTTCATTGGTGTGGCCAAGCTTGTCTATTTGGACCTCAGCTTCAACAGTCTCACACAAGTCACCTTCAGCACCTTCTCACCCCTCCTCAGCCTGGTGGTACTGAAGATCTCGGACAATCCCAACCTTGTGGCCATTGAGAAGGATGCTTTTGCCAACAACACCTGGCTGAGGCACCTGGATGTGAGCCGGACAGGCTTAACATTCCTGGACACCGGCACTGTCCAAGACCTGCCCAACCTGAGGTTTCTGGGACTCAGTGACAACCTGTGGCACTGCAACTGTTCCTTTCTGGACTTCATCACCTGGATGACAGAGAGCAACATTAATTTTCCAGGTGAGAGCTGTGTGAACAGGACCTCTCTTCTCCCTACTGCAGATCTTTGTGGAATGGAGAGGGCCCTTTGTTCTCTTCCTCAAAACCAGCTCACGGGGCTGTGCCACTGCATGTTCCACCCTCTGGTGTTGCGCAAAACACTAATTGATGCAGCTGGGTTACCTGTGCTCCACCCACAGAGAGCCATACTTGCTCACACCCTCAGGACAGTCAGGAAGGTGTACCCTGTAGCTGGAACATTGCTGCTGGTCTAAAATGCCTGGTTTCAGCCTCAGAAGGTGCCTGTTAGTCACAGCACCTTGTGGCTGCAGTGCCAAGAATGAGAAACCCAACACTGCTCTGGGGAAATAAGCACTGGGAAAGCTGCTGCTCAATTTTTCTGCCTTGTCTCCTGCTCTGATCACTTAGTGCTGCCACAGTACCAGTGTGTGTATAACGATCATTTAAGCCCCCTCCCTCTGTGGAAATGCTGCCTCTGTTCTGACCTGCTCGGGGCAGCCTCTCCAGCCTAGAGCTCTCACCATCCACCAGTGTTCCTTACATCTCAAACACCTTCCGCTACCCTCTTCCCACACAATGTCCCTGGCAGGCAGACCTCATCCACACAACCCCTATGACAGCAATTCCACTCAATACTGAAAACAAAGCCAAACTGAAAGCCAGTCAGCTGTTCTGCTGTCATCTTTCACTGACAGGATATCTGGGAAAAGTTTGGGTAGTGTGGAAACCAGTGAGTTTAGCTGCTGAATTCTGTGGGGCTGTGATCACACTCTGATCCCTGAGGGCCCTTTACCATATGTGAAAGTGTACACAATGCATTTTGCCTTAAGAGCATAGCAGCTGTTATGCTAAGACAGATAAAAATTACAAATCCTGCAGCCTCCAGCTGTGACTGTGCTCCTCAGCCCTCAGAGCAGGTACATTTGACTGATTCTCTGTACCAAATGTGACCCAATGCTCAGAAGTCAGAGAAGGACATTTTGCTGTTCCCATGGGAACTCTCGTTTGGGTCCCAGCTGACATTTCATGGTCAGAGTGAAACAGAACTTTAAGTTGAGCTCAGAAAAGCATCCGTATCCTTATGGCTGAGAGGCTCAGTATGGTCCCCACTATTCCTCCAGCACCTCAGAGGAAATTTGCACTCTTTTACCTTTTCTAAAATAAGAACTGTATGCACAAGGCAGGTGAACATTGAATCCCGTGAGCTGCAGCAGCACAGCGCAGCTTGCTGCTGAATAAAAGCCATTTCTTGAAAACAGGGTCTCCAAGACTTCTTTACATCCCCTGGGATCCCAAAATCAGCTGTTTCCCATCATACTGAGAGATTCTACAACTGGGTTATAGACACCATGTGTTCATGAGGCAAGGTAATCGCCAATTCCCTTTCCGAGGAAAACACTGGTCCCAAGGGCAAAGCTTTGTTCTGCAGCTGCAGCACATGAACTCTATTTTTCCAAACCGCCAAGGAACACAGCACAGCACATACTGATGAGACTTTCAGTAATGCAGGACACAATAGAGAGAGAGCAGCAAAAGAGAAATTGTTTGAGAAAGTCTGTCCATCAAGTAAGAAAGGGCCGCAAAAGAGCCCAAGGGAAAAAAAGGGAAGGGCAAATGGAAGCTGGTGTTAGGACAGAAGGACATCTCTGTGTCTTATTAGATGTAGTAAGCTCCCTATAGACAGTAAAGTTTTTTATTTTCCACATACAGGTTACAGGCAGTTACGGAACAGTGTAAAGTACTGTTCTTAGCAGTAAGATCAGAGATAACATACTGAACCCTCCTTCTCTCCACTGCTCCCTTTCCCTCAGGCCCATCCACCCCATGCATCAAACAGTGAAAGCCTGTGTCTCCTCTGGGGAACACAAAACCTGCCAGGCAAGGAGAGGGCTATGGCCAAGAGCACCCTGTGCCTCCACACGCACCAGAAGGAGATGGTGCTTTTACCATGCTTGGCCTTCAGAGGGAAAACCAGTACCTGTTCTGTCACTATATATATTACAGTACGACAGGGTATAGTTGTTATTTCAGTGGAACTGAATCATTGATGAGTTTCCTCTTTCTCACAGAGCAGGTAAGGCTATGCCTAACTGCAAACCACCCTAATTGTCAAATGCACACAAGACACATTATTCCAGCATAATTTATTCTGTATCCCTTCAGAAGGTGTTTGAGATTAAAAAACCCCACACAAGTTCTCTTATATTAAAATAAAAGTGCTCAATCAGCAGAGGTGAGCAGTGCAGGGACAGCAGTTTCCCACATTGGCACAATCCAACAGGCAGTATTTTTCTGTGTGTGGAGGCAACACCACAAAAACCATTCAGGCAATCGGGCAGTTGTGGTTGGGCAAGGGTCTGCCTGTCTCATTTTACTTCAGACATGGAGAGAGAGGGATGTGAAGTCTGTAGATATTTTTCACACTCCTCCATCATTTTTCTAGCAGGACTCCTGTACACTAACACTTAAGACACAGGCAAGAGTCTTGCTTCCGCTTTTCCCTCTGCAGATGCTGACAATGTCACTTGCTATACCCCAGAAGGCTTGCATGCCCTGAAAATGCCTGCAGTGGAAGCACAGCTCCACTTCAACTGTCTGACCCAGCTGTACAAGCAAGACTACATCTTTCTGTGTCTCGCTGGGTTCTGCATATTCTTTGCTGGCACCGTGGCAGCCTGGCTGGCTGGCATCTGTGCTGTCATCTATGAAGTCCACATCTCAAAGGGAGAGGAGGGGGAGGAGGAAGACACAGTCACTTAGGATCGCCCTACAAATCCTTCTGAACTCGAACTCATGGGATCTGAAGGCAGGCCCTTCCTGCCTCATTTCCCACATGATGTCCCACTTTAGATGCTTCCTGACCCCCACCCCCCACACCTCCCCCCAAAGTGAAATAAAACTGCAAGAGAAGAAAGTCTCTGCTCCAGTTTCACTCACTGTGCTACTTCTATGTGTCTTCTTCCACTGGGGCTCAGGACATTGGCAAAATATTCATTTGGGTAGAGCGCTTGAGAGGTGTGCACAGTGCCAGGCATTTACACTTCAGCTTTACCAGGAGACCACAGAAAAGCAGGGCCATAGGGACCTGCTTGAAGAGGTATGATCTGAAAACATGGGAAAGGCCCCAGCACTGTGCTCTAGCCACAGGGTTCACCAAGCCCTCCCTGGCCAGAAAGCCCAGCAGAGATTATTGGGACCAGCCTAGATAGTTTACTGGAGCCCCAGAGAATCCATGAACTTTTTGCTGTGGAAAGGCAGGTACATGAGCAAAGAGATTAAATCCAGGACTTTTAAGGGACCAGGATCCCACTGGGTCTTACTTGCTTCCCCATTACACTGGTGACAGTGAAACACATCATCTGTCCCCCTACAGCTACACCCCTTGCACCTCCACTGGTTTATGAATATGGACAGGACTGCAAAGTTCAGCTTCACGTTTGTATCACATATCTCAAAAACTAATGTAAAAAACATGGCTTACATACACTCCAAGTATTCATGCAGACCAGCGAAAAGGGAGAGGTAAATAAGATCCTTCATATCTCTAACGCTGGTAATTGCCAAGAAAAGTATCTGTTTACATGACCAAGTACATTGACTCGACATGTGAAACACTGGCTTCTTCATCCAGTACTAGCAGGATCTGGTGAAACAGAAAGGAAAAGCTGAAGATTTCAACAAGCATGGTATACTCTTTTAGAGCCGTTAAAATGTAGACTGCGAATCAAAGCTGCAATCTCTGTTTTGGGTATAATTGGTATGACAGAAATGGTTAGGAGTGAACACAGCAGTGCATTCTGTGAAGGAAACGTGTGTGCCGGGGACACGTATGCAGAATTACCACGTAGGACAGATGCCCCTCAAGCAAACTTCGAGGTGTTTCTTCGTACGGCAAAACCCTCCGCAGAGCCACGGGAATCTGCGTTAAATTCACCTCTCAAAGCGCAACCGAGAACCCCATTATCAAGATGAGCACCGCCCCGCTGG